GAAAAGGGGGAAGAAAAGGGGGAAGAAAAGGGGGAAGAAAAGGGGGAAGAAAAGGGGGAAGAAAAGGGGGAAGAAAAGGGGGAAGAAAAGGGGGAAGAAAAGGGGGAAGAAAAGGGGGAAGAAAAGGGGGAAGAAAAGGGGGAAGAAAAGGGGGAAGAAAAGGGGGAAGAAAAGGGGGAAGAAAAGGGGGAAGAAAAGGGGGAAGAAAAGGGGGAAGAAAAGGGGGAAGAAAAGGGGGAAGAAAAGGGGGAAGAAAAGGGGGAAGAAAAGGGGGAAGAAAAGGGGGAAGAAAAGGGGGAAGAAAAGGGGGAAGAAAAGGGGGAAGAAAAGGGGGAAGAAAAGGGGGAAGAAAAGGGGGAAGAAAAGGGGGAAGAAAAGAAAGAGGGAGAAAGAAAAGAAAGGGAAAAAGGAAAGAGAAAAAAGAAAGGAAAAGAAAGGAAAGGAAAAGAAAATGAAAGAAAAAGGAAAAGAAAAAGGAAAGAGAAAAAAGAAAGGAAAGGAAAGGAAAGGAAAGGAAAGGAAAGGAAAGGAAAGGAAAGGAAAGGAAAGGAAAGGAAAGGAAAGGAAAGGAAAGGAAAAGAAGAAGAAAAGAGAAGAAAAGAGAAGAAAATAAAAAAAGGAAGGGAAGGAAAGAAAAGAAAGAAGGGAAAATGCTGCCCTGAGAATTCAGACTTGTGACCTTGTTTTCATACTTTGCAGCCACTTTCCCAAAACAATAACTGCAAACACGAATGTTTATACATTAAACATTAAAGAAATGCGTTTCCATGAATGCTTTTCACAACCAGGGCAGTTTGGAAAGTGTTAGCTTGATTAATTAAATTAGCATTTAATTCTCTTAATCAAAAATGTATAAACGCTGGAATCACAAAAATAATTATTGTTTCCTTATTGTGTGTTGGATTTTGTCTGTGTGAAGCATTCTGTGTCCTACAGCGACAGCAAAGAAAGGGGGAAAAAAGGGGGAAAAAAAGGAAAAAAAAGGAGAAAAAAAGGGGAAAAAAAAGGAAAAAAAGGGGGGAAATTTGGGGCAAAATTTGGGGAAAAAGGGGAAAAAAAGGGGGGAAAAAAAAGAAAAAAAAGGGGGAAAAAAAATGGGGAAAAAAAGAAAAAAAAGGGGGAAAAAGGGGGCAAAATTGGGGGGAAAAGGGGAATTATTTGGGGTAACAACAGGGGTTGGTAGTGCTTGCAGCTGCTGTTGCTCTAGGATGGGGAAAAGGGGAAAAACGGTGAAAAAATGGGAAAAAAGAATGAAAATTAAGGAAATAATAGTGAAAAAAAGAGAATAAATGGGAAAAAGGAAGGGGGAAAGGAAGGGGGAAAAGGGGGGGAAAGGGGGGGGGAAAGGGGAGGAAAAGGGGAGGAAAAGGGGAGGAAAAGGGGAGGAAAAGGGGAGGAAAAGGGGAGGAAAAGAGGAGGAAAAGAGGAGGAAAAGAGGAGGAAAAGAGGAGGAAAAGAGGAGGAAAAGGGGAGGAAAAAGGGAGGAAAAAGGGGAGGAAAAAGGGAGGAAAAGGGGTGGAAAAGGGGTGGAAAAGGGGGGGAAAATGGAATTATTTGTGTTAACAGGGGCTGGTAGCGCCTGCAGCCGCCCTGGCCCTGGGATGGGACAAAAATCAGAAGTTTTGGGGCCACAAAGGGGGGTTTTGGGGAAGCCAAGGAGGGTTTTGGGGCGCTCACCTTCTCCTTGGTGAGGTCCTCGTCGCCCTCGGGCTGCTCCACCCCGAACTTGTGGTCCATCTCCTCGCCGCCCTCGCAGATGTTCTTGCCCTTGCACAGGTCGTAGACGTGGGTCAGCCTCTTCTTGGGCTGCCCCTTGGACTTGCCCAGGATGTCCTTGATCTTGGGGTTGTTCTGCCAAGGAAACACACAAAGTTTTGGGGTCAGAAAGTGTCCTTTCGGGGTCACAAAAGATGATTTTGGAGGTCTGGTGTCGTGTGATCGGCGTCCCTCAGCATCTCCAGGGCTTCCAGGACCACCCAGCAGGTGACACCTCTGTGTCCCCCGACTCCTGTTGTCCCCTCCCCATGTGTCCCCCAACTTTGTCACCTCTTCCTGGTGTCCCCCACTCGGGATTTCCCCTCACTCTGACACCCCAGCACCCCCAAAAATGGTCCCAGGCCCCAACTTGGGGACCCCCAAACCCAAATACCCCCCTCCCCGCATCCCGAGGTGTCCCCAGGGAGCCGTTTTTGGGGTCCCCCCGGTGTTTTTTTGGGGTCTCACCGAGTCCACGAGCAGCTTGGAGCAGAAGAAGCAGACGCAGCGCAGGATTTTCATGGTTTTCCCCAGGAAGCCCACGTGGAACACGGGCTTGGCCAGCTCGATGTGGCCAAAGTGGCCAGGACACTCCGTCATGTTCCCTGGGGACACCCCAAAATTGGATTGGGAAGGTTGGGATAGAGGGGAAACCCCCACCCCAAAAAAAAATGGGGGTTTGGGGTGAGAGGGGCACAGCCCTAAAAAAATCCCTAAAAGAGGGGGAGCAGCCCAAAAAAAGGGGAACTCTGAAAAAAAGGAAAATCCCAAAAATAAAAGAGAGAGACCACCCCAAAAAAGGGACCTCAAAAGATAAAAAAACTCCCCCCAAAATAGAAAAATCTCCTTTAAAAAAAAACCCCACGGATGGAGAAAAAGTGAAATTTGGGGAGGGGGCAATGAGGGGGGGGGAAGGGAGCTCCCTAAAAAGGGAAACCAACAAAAAAACCAAAAGATGACCCCAAAACAGCAAAAGAAACCCCCCAAAAATAGGGATCCCACCCCAAAGCTGAAGGAAAAATGCTCCTGAAACTTTTGGGGGGAATGAGCAGTGGGAAAAAGCCCCCCCCAAAAAAAAGGGGAATCACACAAAAAAGGACACCCCAAAAACAATAAATTCCCCCCCAAAACCAGAAGGATTTGAGGGGGTTCAGGGTGTGAGAATTCAGGGGTTCAGGGCCCTCCCTGTGAGAGATTTGTGGGGTTCAGGACTCTCCTTGTGAGGAATCTGTGAGGCTCAGGGGGTCCCCGGGAAGATTTGGGAGGATTTTGGGGTTCAGGACCCCCCCCTCACTCACCGGCACAGGTCTGGCAGCGCCCCGTCCTCTCGATGACGCCCTGCCGGGGGTCCATGAGCCCCCCCAGTTTGGGGCGTCCCCCCTCGGTGGTTTCGGGGTATTTGATGCCCCCCTCGGTCACCGACATTCGTTTCTGGGGGGGAAAAGGGGAAACTGAGGCAACTGGAGACCCCCAAATTCATCCGCAAGACCCCCCCCCCCCCCCCAAAAAACCCCCAA